CAATTTATTTGAAGATTTCTAGGAGTTGAGCTTCTGGGATATTATTTTAGGATGCATTGGCTATTACGACATCGAGTAGCATTGGATTGTTTGTATTTCTGGAGCATAGGAGATTTTCATAGCCGTCATTTATACATGTTGAGGAATTCTTGGATGTAAGATCATATGGATATTTGAGACCATTTTGATGGTGAAGGACTATGGAAAGCACTAACTTCAGAACCTTTCAGTTACAGAGTATGAAGATGTATTTATGATCTTTGGAAGGATCATCACCAAGCATAGGAGACGCTTTGGCGATTGAAATGGAACGAAGGACGCCACCGGTTTCACGAGTTCTGTACTGATTAGCGCCAACAGAGATGGCCGAGCCTATGAACCAGATGGAAGATTTTTAGACAGAAATTTTATTAGACAGAATACTTCACCATGGGGACCACTAGTGTTGTTACGACGAAAAATAGATGGGAGTTTCAGATTTGGTATCAATTGCAGAGATTTGAATAAAGTGATCATCAAGAAAAAGCATCCGCTTCTGCGTATTGATGAATGGTTGGACTAGCTGCTGGGAGGTTCATTGTTTTCAAGGATTGTCTTGGAATCAGTTTACCACAAGATTATTGTAACTGAGGGAGATGTGCGGAAGACGACTTTCCGCTCAAGTTATGGGTATTATGGGATTATAGTGATACCAATTGGGTTGTTAAGTGCACCGTAGCATATGTGAAGCTTATGAATGACCTCTTTCGTGAGCACTTGGATAAGTGTACAATTGTATCTTTGGACGGCACCTCGATGTATTCTTGGAGTAGAGGAGTATTACGAGCATTTGCAGATTGTGTATTGTTGCACGAGGATCAGGTTATTGCATATAGATGGCGCCAGTGTAGACATACCGAGATCCACTACCCTGCTCATGGTTCAGAGTATCTGCAGTGGTATTTGAGATAAGATTTTGGAGATTATAATTGTTCAGAGAGGAAGTTCAGATATTCTAGGATCATCAGAGTGAATTTTATTTTCATTTATTAAAAACTTCTATTTGAGGCAGTGCAGTTGGATTGAGTTGGGAGCAAACAACAGTTCAAATATTACCTGTCATTTGGTAAGGTCAACCAGATGACAAATGCTTTGTATAGGCGCGATGTTTAGAGAACCAAGGAGGTTCATGAACTTGCTGAAACACTTGTTAGTCTCAAAACTTTGTGCGATTATTGTAGAGGGATAGACATCAAGCCTTGAGGTTTTGGAGCAAGTAGATTTTCTATGGAGATACGCCAAACACAGGAAAACAATACGACTTTGGTTATGCAGTGTGAGCCTCGGAATATTTAAAATCAGACAGTTTCAATAAGGGGTAGTTGTATCAAAATCGAGTGTGTGTATCGGACGATAATTTGTTAAGGAAATGGATCTTACAGCAAACACATCACTCGCGTTCTTTATCTATCCAGGAAACACCAAGGGATACAAAGATATGAAGTGTTAACTACCATTGGTCCAGAATGAGAAAGATTGTAACTACATTGCTTCACAGTATTGACATGTCAGATGGTTTTGTCCGGGATCAGATATCTTTCAGGTTATGGTTGAGCTTGTTTAAGGAAGAGTGGAAATGAGGCATGGGGATTGAGTACATTGTTACTGGATTTTTTTCGTTCATCGCAGGTGGAAAGGATGTCACATGAGTAGTCATGGACAGACTTACAAAGCTAACTCATTTCCTAGTAATTAAGAAGACAGAACTGATTAGTGGGCACATGTTTACATCAGTGAGATTGTTAGATTGCACAGAGTACCTATCAGCATTGTATCGAATCGGGATGTAAAGTTCACGTCTGCATTTTGGAGAGCCTTTTAGGAGGCGCTTGGGTCAAAGGTTCATATGAGTACATTTTACCATCCGCGGACAGATTGTCAGTCAGCGAGGATTATTCAGACTTATAAGGATATGAACAGGGTTGCGTCTTGCAGTGGAAAAGAAGCTAGGGAAACATCTACCTTTACCACAGCTTACCTACAGTGAAAACTATCATTCGAGTATGGATAAGGCTCATTCGAGTATGGACAAGGCACGATATGAGACTCTTTTTGGATAGGCATCATCGTATACCACTTGTTGGAAAAAAGTGGGGGAGCGACATGAGATAGACCATTAGTTGTTCCAGAGACGGTAGATCAGATGGACATACTCAAAGTTGGCTTTGGAAAGACCATAGTTGTAAGAGAAGTTATGCAAATAAGCGTCATAAGGATCTGGAGTTACAGATAGGCGACCAAGTATACCTGAAAATAAGAACATCTCAAGAAGGACATAAGATTCAAAAGCTAAAGAAGCTTAAACCGAGATATATGGGACCATATCCCATTGTAGAGCGGATTGGATCAGTGATTTACAGATTGCAGTTATCAGCTGAGTTGTTAGATTTTCATGACGTGTTCCATGTGTTAGTATTGAGGAAGGTCGTGAGAGAGCCAGAGCTCATTTTGGCAGCAACACCACCATGCGATCTCGGAAAAAATTTGTCTGCACCTATTCAGCCAGTTGAGATTTTGGAACGGCAAGGTACGTTGGGAAAAAGAGAGGAAATTCAGAAGGAGACCGAGACTCAGATGAGGATAGATTATTCAGAGCTATTTCAGGATGGTATTGGACAGTGGGTTTATGAATCGAATTCGAGGACGAATTCCTTATAAGTAGGGGAGAATTGTAATGACCCAAAACCCAGTACAGTTATTTCGGCCCGGCTAGGCCCAGTTGTGTGGCAGAAACCCTAAACTCTTCCTATTTAAAGAGAGATTAATGTTCAGCAGACACGTTTTTTGAGAACAAAAGAACGATCAATCAAATCTATGAATTTCGAAGCCAAATTTTGAGGTTATGTTCTACACTCGTTGATCTACGTATATCAGAAAACGGATCGTCATTTGTAATTTTTATCTAAGAGTTATGATTATTTCTTCGGGACTTATTTCTGCAGATCGGATCTACCAGCAGTCATCTTCATCAGGATTTTCCTGTTGATCCAGAATGAACCAGGAAACGAGCGAGATATCATTGGAAATCTCTCGATGTCAGCGTTTTAGATCATCTTTCCGATTGTAAAACAAAGGTACAGTTAGAAAGTTATTGACGTTTCTTCGTGGCGATAATTAAACTGTTGTGTTGCAGAGGCAGTTACGAGCAGTCTCAGCGTAAAGGCGAAACGGTCAACCTAAACGAAAGATTTCAGTCTGGAAATTTATCAGTAAGTAGCTAGTTCTTTTATCTATCATCCCCAGAAAGCGGATCATCATTTCGAATTATTTGCTGAGAGTTATGCTTATTTTCGTAAACGGTGTTGGTGCAGTCTGCGTTTGCGACCAACTTGGAGGCGAGGCTATTTTGAGTAATCAAACGGTGTCTGATCGGTGTAAATTCGGTGGCTACAGGCAGAGGACGACTAGGACTATATTATGACCAGAGGGATCAAAAAGCTAACGGTCAGTTCTTGAGTTATTCATCTGATTTATCTAGAGTTCAGGTCTGCCAGAATCTTCACATTCATCTATTTTCAGAGAGTTCCGGAATTGCTGTTTTTAGAGCCATCAGGGTCATTCAGTGTTTTCTCAGGTTTTCTTCAGAACCCGTGGCAAAGGTGAGGGTCTAATCCGTAACTCCCGTACCAGTATAGAATCCTTCCTATCGTAGTTTAGATTTCGAATCATGATCCGTCTGTGTGAATTGAG